CAAATTCTTCGTTACTATATCCCATAAACACACACTGTGTAGCTTTACTGTCAAGTTTTGATCTCTACTCTTTCGATACATGTATGAATACTTTACATCCGAAAACTTTCAAATAAGAGTATGAAGCATCTTTCTCTGTCCACACTCTTTCTAGAATGTCAAAGCTCAAAGCAACTGATGATGATTGTTAAGTAAATAACAAGCTGTGTTGACTGCTTCATCCCAGAATAGCTTTGATAATTTTGTCATCCTCAACATACATCTGACTTTTTTCACAATGGTGTGATTCATCCTTTCAGCTACACCATTATGTTACAGTGTTTCAGGTTCTATCATCTCATGCCTAATCTCATGCTTTGAACAATACTATTCAAAGTTTTTAGATGTGTATTCCTCACCATTATCAGTCCAAAACATTTTAAGAGCAACCTTATCATCCTTTCAACCATGGCATAAAATTTTTAAAAATATTACAGTACCTAACTTTTGTATTTTAAAATATACACCCAAGTTTTACGTAAAGCATCATCAATAAAAGTAATAAAATATCTATTACCACCTAATGACTCAACCTCAATGGGACTACATACATTAGAATAAATCAATTTCAATATATTTTCTTTTCTTTGAGAATTTTTACCAAAAAAACTCTACAATATTTACCAAACAAACAATAATCACATGAATCGAGAAACATATCTTTGGTCAAGGGAATGAGAGACTGCTTTGCCAAAACCTATAACCTTTTTTCGCTCATGTGTGCTAACCTTCTTAAGCCACAAGTTTGCTAAAGCATCATCTTCAATGGCATTTACCTGGTTGCCATTCAATTGCATCCATGTCTTATACATTGTGTAGCATAATTTTTTTCTTGTAACTACCATAGATCCTTTAAGAAGCTTTCACTGCCCATTCTTTTATCGACTCTCATATATTTCCTTATCAAGGGCATTAATCGCAAGCAAGTTCATTTTCATATCCAAAAATATGTCTGACATCCCTCAAAATCAACATGCAACATGTACTAATTTATACAATAATATCACCAATCTCAATAATCTGTGACGCACTGTTGTTTCTCATCTTAGTACAACCAAAGTCTCATATTTTGTAAATTGTAAACAACTCTCTCTTAGGAATACAATGGTACACCGTTCATGTGTTAACTATCCACTCAATGTCGGGATCACCAACATGATTACAATTATCATGTGTACAAATCAAAGTAACTGAATCACTATCTAAATTCACTGCTACAACATTATCATCATCTGATACTTTCTCATCTTTTCACTATTGCTTCAAGATTTTACAATGTCGTTTTATATGACTGTTTTACTATAATGAAAATACTTTACTTTATCTTTGGACTTAGATCAATATTTAGACTTACTACGATCTTTTGAGTTCTGACCTCTGTCAATGTTTCTACATCTGTTCTCTGTGATAGAGCTTGATTTTCAAGGTCTACATCTTTTCGCCTTGCTTTTCATTAAGCATACTGTCTTTTACCGTCTCTAATGTCACTTTATAATCAGGAGCTGAATTAAAAACAGTCACAACTAAAGTATTTCAGTTGTCTGGCAATAAACTCAAAAGAAACAACATCTTCATTTCATCATCCATTTTAAGTTCTATAGTAGTCATCTGATTAAATATGTCTTGAAAATCACTCAAGTGCTCAATAATCGATCATCCATCCATATACTATAAAGTTACAAGCTTTTTAACAAGCATAACTTTATTCATATTTATTTTTCTCTTATACAATCTATCAATTTTTCTTAAATAATGTGGGCATCTGTCTCTTACATTATATGATGAAACACACTGATATCAACCCATTTTCTAATTGTAGTCAACGTCTTTTACCTAACTTCTTTCAGTTTTCATTTTTCTTATCTACTGATTTAACCGAATCACCTAATACCGACTTATACAAATCTTTGCAGTATAGATGATCCTCTATCATAGGCTTCTAAATTGAATAATTTGATGCTGTCAATTTTATCATGAAACCTGTATCACCCTTCATGATCTCAAATAAAATGTACTTCTATCTTAGACTGCTTTTGTATCATTATCTCAAAATAACCTTGCTCTGATACCACTTGTTAAGCCTGAAGCAATAACCATAACAACGCAAAAGCAATATATCGTAATAAACCCATAGTAATAGACAATAATCAAGAACACAAAAAAATAAAGCACACCAAAATTTACGTGAAAAACCCTCCAGTGTAGAGGAAAAAATCACAGACCACTAAAAAAATTCCACTATCAAATAATTGATATACAAAGTTCTTTAGCTAAAACTAGAGCTAATCAACAACTAGAGAAACAATTAAAAAAATCTCACAAAATAAGTGACTCAACAAATATACTTTGAATTTGTTCCTATAGAGCTTCAAACCCGATCTTCATCATTCAGAATGTAAAACTCTGAATCATAAACCTGCTGATAAAGTTTCAGGTCAATCGGACTACGGATCGACTTCCGTTCAACCAACTCTCCCTTTCATTTTTCTCTCTACTTTTCTTGGCTTTTCTTCTTTTCTCTTCTTGGTTTGCGACACTACCTTAAAACAATCTCATCTCTTTTTTATTAAGTAGCTAGGGTTCTGTGTAGAAAGAAAGATTAAAATCAATGACCTTTGATTAATCCAAAACTAATTACATGTGACTGGACCTTATTTTTTTAACAGTTTCAACACAATGAGATAATTGAAACATATAGTGAGAAACCACTATGACTTGAAAGTAAGCTTCAAGCCCCCAATCACTTGATTAGGTAAGTAACCATTTCAATTATAGACATATAATTTAAGGGAGATCGCAATTTAAGTATATTAGAAAAAGGGAAATTACAAGTTTTAAAGATGAAATCCAAACTCTTTTGAGAATTTATAAAAAAATAAATGAATCAATCATTTAAATTAAATTCAAATTATTTTACTTATTTATGTTGGTTAATGTCATGATATTTTTAAATTTTATTTTAACTTAATCTCATGAACAATTTTAATTGAATATTTCTGCACATTATTATCAAATTAAAGTCGTAATTTAAAAATAAAAAAATTATAAGTATAAAATTTTAAATTTTAAATTTATTAAATATTAAATTTTTTTAAAATAATTATATGAATTAAATTGAATACAATCTTGTATTCATTTTATATTTATTTTTGTCCATATGCACTTAAACATCAAATATTTTGCATTAACCATATATATCTATAGAAACTCTCTAATGAAATTAGCTTTATAAAAAATATATATAAATATGGTAAATTTAAGATCAGTGCTCTTACTTCGTAACACATCCCAATGGACTTTATTTTTATGACAATTATATATTAACAAAGTATTTAATTTGTACTGAAACAATCTCTAATCCAACATCCTCAATCATCATGTCTCTTTGCAGCGGCTTTTTTACTAATTTTCTGACATAACTCCACCCAAGCCACAAATTAATCACCATGCCATCCATTGAAAAATTATTTAATATTATAACATGATATATAATAAAAGTTATAATTTATGTATTTATATTATATAAAATACTAAAATTTATATATTTATATTATATTTTATATAAAAATTATATATCATAATTTATATTAATATAAAAATATAAAATTTTTATTTTATTAAACATATTTAATTATTATTAAAATTTTAAATCATATCATTTTATTTTTTTAATCATATTTTTATCGTGTTTTAGATAATAAAATTTAATATGTAGTAGCTCTTACAGCAAAAATACTGTACACTTGCTAAAAAGAAAAAGCCCACTACTATGGTGGATTTTTTAAAAATAAATTTAAAATAATGTTTCAAGATAAAATATATTATATTTAATAATTTAAAAATAATTATTATAAATCATACATTCGATGTAATTCTAATAAAAAATCATCGATTGAACTTAAACCAAAAATTTTTTCATAAAAATGAACAATTCTTACAAATTGAACAATCTCTTATTAGTACTTTGGTGGATTTTAGGCAAATAAAATTGACCTCAATTCTTAGGCTTTGTACTTTAACAATATTACAAAGGCTAAATCTTTTGTTAAATCAGAACTAAATTCATGACTTTTTGTAGTCTGTAAAGATAATTACTGCCCCCTTGCCTATTATTAGACTGAAGATATAGCTTAAAGCCTTAAATCATTTCTTTTTATTTTTGCTAAAATGCATTTGGATCTATTATTAAATATAAATTTTATGTTACATATTCGAGTTAAAACGGATAATAATTAACGGGTTAAATATTATATTGAAAATTTTTTTATATTTAAAATATTTAGTCCTTGGTGGAAGCATTTCATAATTGTAACAAATAGGAATGTTGATGATTAATGCCAAAAGGAAACAACAATATCATGACCCCAACTTGGTTAATAATTACCTTAATGTGCTAACATTGTGTTATTGGTGAAATATGAACCCAAACCAAAAGTTGTGTTTTTTCAATTTGATCCTCTATGATTCTTCTAACACAAAGGCAGGCCAAGCATGTCTAAAACAAAATTAATAACCCCAAACAATCTCAATAAACTTTGGAGGAAAACATGATTTAAGGGGTCTAAACACTTTCTAATGCCCTAATTAAGTAATGATTTAAAGTAGATAGGGCAATTCATGTAATTTGCTTCATATTTATTTTGTATTAAACACAAGTAAAACAAAAAATTATCGTATTACAATATGTATCGATACATCAATTATAAAATATATTTTTTAATTTTTGTTAAAATTTAAAATTGTATTATTTTAATTTTTTTGTATTTTTTTGTATTATATTATTATATCGTATTTGATATTATCAAGTTTAATTTAAAATGATTTTAGGGGTACAAGAGTAATTGCATTAAAAAGTAACAATTTTATTTTGCCTTTAAAATTTTAAAACTCTCTTTCTTACCAAAAAAAAAAAAATCACTAGGAATCATGTCTGCCAAAGGAGAAGAAAGAGGGCTGTAATAAAGAATGGAGAAAAAGAAAAGAAAGCACATTGCCAACTCCCCCATGTTTGTCAACCTGAAGGCCAAAGGCTTTTCCCTCTCTCAACAGAGATGAAAATTCCCTGCTTTCTGATCTTTTCTCAGCTCTTTCATACATCATTCTTCAGCTTGCTTTGTTCATGCAAGATCCAAAGCAGTCTCACACAAGGTATGTATGCCTTCAAAAACAAAAATTGCTCTCTCTCTCTGTTTTTTTCTGCATGTACCAAAAATGCTGCGATGTTGCTCAAATCAGTTCAAACATTCACCATAAATAATTACTGCTACATATTGTCCGTTAACATTTTTTTATCTACAATATCTTATTGCTACAATGAGTCAGTGACAATAGATAGAATGATATGTTGTTGCCAAATTCTCCAAATTTTGAATTGATTTAAAAGTTGCATAGAAGGGTGATTATTATTGTGCTCTGATTTCCATGGAGTTGAGCAAGAAATGTTCTAGATCTGCAGCCTGCAACTTTAGCACAATTGTCCACTAAGTGTCAAGCATAGTGGGCCTACATGTTTATTTGATTTGATCCAAAGTGCCAAGTTGAGTCAGTGGTTGAGCCTTGGGCTTGGGTCTGAAAACCCAGTACAATCTTATCTGGAAGTTAATGCTCAGCTCAGGCTGCAGGACTTGGGCTGAACTGGTCAGCACAACCAATTCTTCAGCATATGAACTGAGCTGAAATCCATTACATTTCTTGATCTTTGATTACTTTTGAGCTGGACTTTGGGTTTACCATTCACCTCAATCTATGTTTTTTAAATTGTAAATTTGTATAGAACAAAATGAAGGATAACCCTGATCTTTAAATATGCATGTGATCACCCAAAAATCATTGTTAAGGTTATTTGTTCATATCGTAGTTTTTATTCTTTTTCCTAAGGGAACCCTTCTGCCTTTTTTTGAAGAAAAAGCATAGAAAAAAACTAGTGGATAGGACAACTTCAGTGTAAGTTGAACTTGTTTAGTCCCCTTTTGGTTTACTAAACAATCATTGATGTGTAGTTCAATGAAAAAATTGATAAGCATGTCAATAAATGTGGTAATTTCTTAAGCTATTTAAGCTGTTTATAGTTAATTACATCATTGATGTGTTGTTCAATTAACAATTCTAATGTACTTTCCAAATTTTAACCCTACATAAATATGTCAACCATAAAAAATTGTTGGTAATTTGACTTTTATTACAATATTGCTATAAATTCCTCTAAATTCAGATCAGTGATGTTTGAATTGTCAAAGACAACTATGAATTTTACCTTTCTTTGATATGTCTAGCTAAAGTTGGGAATTTGGCAATTGGCATGGATAAATTTAGGTTTTAGACCAAATCAAAGAACAGCTGCATATAAAAGTATATATGTTGAATCTGTGAAACTGCAATAATTATAGTGTAATTGCTTGTGAATTTGCTTGTTCATCTACAGTTCTTCAATGAATCCACAAAAACATCTTGTTCAAGATTTCATGATTTACATGCGTTTGTTTTTCTGTAGGAAGCCTTGGTATCAAAGAGCAATAGAGAGGGCTACCGTATTGAAAACTGTTGCAAAGACTGCTGAAATCCCTACTACAAATGCTACATTGTGGAAAACCATTTCCAAACCTACAGAAATTCCTTTGGCGAATGCAATGTTATGGAAAACCTTTCCCAAGTCCGCTGAAATCCCATTGACTCCTCCTAGACAAAAGTTAAGGAAATGTACACCCCTAAGGGTTGCCACGTCGTTTACTAGGGTTTGTCTATGTGCACCAATCTCTTCCTACAATGAGGCTTTTCATGCCAATGTTCCCCCTAGAAAAAGCAACAGTTACCCTAGGTCAAATCCGTTTCCCATGTCGCAAGAAAGGATACCTAACGCGAGACTTAGCATGGAAGGAAGAAGAGTTTTTCGCGGAAAATCTTTGAGGGATGATGTTTTAATGAGGAGATTTGTTGTGGACGAAGAAGCAATGATGCAAGTTAGAAGGAGGAACCAAATGGAAGTTATAAGGAGGAGAAGTATGATGAGAAGGAAGATGCTTGGCCCTAGTCCTCTTAACAAAATGGTAAAGGCTGATGAAGAAGAAAATTTTTAAATTTTCTTTTTTGTAATTTTCCATGCGACCTTTTTGCAATTCAAACAATTCCAATGCATGAACGTGAAAACAACAATGGAAATTACTTTTTTTTTAATTATAATATTATCATAATTTTTCGAAGCATCCTTGATTTTGTTTCGTTTATATATATATATATATATATATATATGGATTGAGAGGGACAAAGCTAAACATAAGGCAAAGAAGGAGCCAAATGATTAAATTAACGAAAAAGGAAGGATCGACATTGATGTTAGATGGGTTGAGTTACTATTTACAATGGTGTAAAAAAATTTTTGGGGACCATGACCCATGCTTGCCCTTTTGGATTTGCCTCTGGATCAAGTGAGTGTTAGTTTGTAAGGTGAACTAATTTATTTGGATGAATATGAACAGTGTTATTCACAAAAGAAGAAAAAAAAATGTACACAACATTGGTCTTTAATGCAAGAAATATATATTTTATATTTTTATATTTATAAAACTTATAACACAAAATTTTCGTAAAAAATATAATATAAATATATAAATTATTAATATTTTATATAATATAAATACACAAATTATTAAATCTATCTAACAGCAGCACCCTTTGATTTGGCTAGGTAAGAATTCATTGTCTTCACTTATTTGGAGTCGCACGACCCCAAACCAAAGCACAAATGACGGATTAAAAATTAATTAAAAAAAATACCTAACGGTTTTAATCAGTTGCCATGGTTGCTGTCCGAATAGTCTTCCCATTCAAGTAAAGGTAGTTGGAGTTAGGCCTATTGACTGAGAAACTGGCCAACCCTCCCTTCCCTCTCTTCCTTTCTTACTCGTACTACTAATCATCATGATCAGCAGCAACACTTCAATGAATTTGAGACAATCAAAAAGAGAAGAATCTACGTTACAAACATTACAATAGTTAAAACATAAGTACAACCATGTAATAAAAAGCTAGGAATAAGAAAAATTATTAAAAGCAAGCATGTTGTATAGGAAAAGAGATGGAGGCTTGAGAGAAAAAAAGAAGGGTCTTCTCTGGCTGGCTGCTACTACATTTCTGTTATTAGATTCTTATAACTCAGCTTTTTGAAGGGTTCTTTGCAGAATATGGAATTTGGAAGCTCTCCAGGTATATACGTGAATGATTTATTTTGTTCTTTTTTTTTTTTTTTTTTAGTATTTTTGTTTATAGTTTTGGGCTTTTGTCAATTCTGTTGCTCATGATCAAGGCAATCTTTTGTTGACCTTGTTCTTATGAATCATCAAGCTGATTTTAATATTTGTTCTTTATTAAGAAACTTTTGGATCATGAAGGCCTGAAAAGTTTCCAAGTCATAATGTTTATCAGGCAGTTTCATCAGATTTCATGGTTGAGAACTTGAATCCCAGAGTCTGCATGAAACAGTCTTTGCCAAAAAACGATGTCTTAATTATGTATTATTTTTCATCCATATCATTCACAATTTCATTAAATCTTTTGTATCCTTTTATGTCTACAGATAGAAGGATCAACATTTTGGCCATACACGATCAGGCCTAATGCTGGCAGAATGGGAAAGAAAGGAAGTTGGTTTTCTGCCATTAAAAGAGTTTTCATACCACACTCCAAGGAAAAGCTAAATAATGTAAGTTGATATCTTAACAATGGTGCACAGGGACTTCACCACTTCCTGTGTGGTTTTGGTTTACTATAACAAGAAACGTGCCACAATTGTAGATGATATTTAACATGCCAGTAGATTGTGCTGGAATGAAAATATTTTGTGTTTTAAACCAGAATGTGATTATTGATTAGGAGAGCATAAGAACCTGGCATTTGGAAAAATGATCAAAACAAAATTGGATATACTTAGTTGCCTTCTGATAGACAGTAGATGCATCTAATTGGAGTGTGAAATTTCTGATTGAAGTCAGTTTTGTTATAGAGTCAGCTGTTGAGCTCTATTTGTTTGTTTCCTAGACAGAACAAGCAAAGTTCTCATAGCAATTTTTATGGCTAAATCATTTCAGGAATCAGATAAAAAAAGTGGTAAACAAAAGAAGAAAGGCCTAGGAAAATTAAGGCATGGAGAAACCAATTCCTTCATTCCCCTCTTCAGAGAGCCCAGCAGTTTTGAGAAATTTCTGGGGGAGGCTGAAAGGGAGCATAAACTAATATTCAGCCTACCACACCTCCGGAGGGGCCAAGAACACCACCTTTTGTGCCTCATAGAGCTGCTTCTCCACGAGTTCCTTCACAGAGGATTGCCTCTCCTACTGTTGCTTCTCCGAGACCTGCTTCCCCTCCAGGAGCTGCTGCACCTAGACCTGCTTCTCCACCTCGACAAGCTGCTTCTCCACGAGCTCCTTCTCCTAGGATTCTTCGTCCTCGACCAGAACCAACTTTAAGGAACCATCATGCTTCAGCTACTAAAATTCGAGCAGCCTATAGAGGTTATATGGTAAGTCCTTTATTCTTCTTGTTAACAGAAGATCTCAAGTGCAATTTCATGGGGCAACTGGTTTGAAAAGACAAACAATGAGAATAACAATATCATTAGCAGGATTCATCTGTTCAAAATTTCACGTTTTAAGGATTTATGACGAGTACTGATGTGGGAAGTTATTGGTTGTGCACATCACTTATTGATAAGGTTATTTAGAGAATCAAAGATTTCAAATCTGGTTACTTTACATTTGGTCACTTCCCCTGCATTTTTCCTCCTGCTGATATTAATATGTTGTAAACTAACATAATTCCTCATGGAAGTCTTATAGACAGAAATGTCAAAAAGCCATTTGATATAAACAACTTTTAAATGGGCTTAAGTAACAACTGAAGTTTGCTTTGCAAAACAGTTAATTATAGTGCTCTGGGTCATGTATGAGTTGGTGCTATCATGACTCGTGTAATAGAGAGTAGACCCCTTGCATTGATATGTTTTGCCTCAATGTTTCACATCCCAACTTGATTATCTTGGAACTTCTAATACAGGCAAGGAGAAATTTTAGAGATTTGAAAGGGTTTGTGAGGCTTCAAGGAGTTGTGAGAGGTCGGAACGTGAAACGCCAAACCATGAATGCCATGAAATGTATGCAGCTTTTGGTGCGAATTGAATCTCAGATTCAGTCACGCAGGATCCAGATGTTAGAAAACCGAGCACGACAACAGGCTCAGTTTAAGAACGATAAGGAAGTGGAGAGTACCTTGGGCAAATGCACCTTCAGCCAGGTAGTAAGTTTATATACATACATACATACATACATACATACATACATACATACATATATATATATATATATATATATTTGCTCTCTATATTGCTATTAAAAAATGAGTCACTTAGTTGAATTTTGGATCAGTCCGAGGCAGGCAATGAAGATTGGGATGATAGCATGCTAACGAAAGAGGAAATAGAGGCAAGGATGCAGAGAAAGGTGGAGGCAGTCATCAAGAGAGAAAGGGCCATGGCCTATGCATTTTCCCACCAGGTACTGTCTACTTTCAACTGTATCACGTTGAATGGTTTATATAAGTCATATTTTGGGCACAGTTGTCTTTTAAAAACTTTTCTACATACAGCTATGGAAAGCTACCCCGAAATCAGCTCACACAGGTGTATCAGACATTGGCTCTGGCGGATTTCCATGGTGGTGGAACTGGTTAGAACGTCAACTACCTCCAGTCAACGCTCCTGAAAGCCAAGGCATGAAGAGTTTCCAAGTTACACCACCGAGGCCAACTTCTGAATTGAAGCCTAGTCCAAGGCCACAGTTGAGCAGCAAGCAACATCAGTTTACCCTTGACAATATGGACACTCCCACACCGAAATATACAAGGTCAACAGCAACAAGACCTATGCAAACACCACCTTCCAGTAGAAACCCACAAGCAAGCAGCTCAGGGTTGTCAAAATATTAGCTCTGAACCCGCGCGGCTCCGGGACCCGGACATTCACCCTTCCGACATTCAGATCAGCATAATCTTTACATTCCAGATGAGTGCCAGCAGTGGTCCCAAGGAGAGGTTTATGGAGACACCAGGAAGCGAGTCGAAGGGAAGACTTTCGGTCCCTTTGACACAGGGGATCGGATCATTCAAGTGGAGCAAAGGGTATTTGTTTTCTGGCAAAGATTCAAGCTCTCAAAGGGGTTTAGATAAGCGCCATTCACTTCATTCTATAGGCAATTTGAGTGTGGATTGAACTGCTTCTATGCCTGCAACAGTTGGAAGAAAGCCATTTAACAGATTTGCATGATTTTTTCCTTATTTTTAACCTTTGATTACTTATTTTATTTTAGCTGCTTTTCTTCATTGATTGTACGGTATGTTAGTGTTACAAAATTTCTGATGTAAAATAAAACAGAAAATGATAGGAAATGATGGTTTAAATGCCACAGCATTTGGGGTTTGGTGAGATATTATATTAAATTTTCTTTTATTTTTATTATTAATTAAAAATTTTGTCTCCATTTTTTTAAAATGTTTAATTTATCAAGAAGTTCAGCTTCAATATGGGCTGAAGCTACCAAAGCCCAACAAGTGAAACCAAAACAAAAATAAAAGCAAAGGGAATTCATTATTTTCTTATTAAAATATAATTTAAGTATAGAGACTCTTAAATTAAAATTAAATAGTCATCTAATTTTTATCATTTTATTATAATTAATTGAGCTCTCTAATATCTTTTTTTACTCAATTAAATTTTTATTGGGCAAAAATTAATTTTTCGCCAGCATTCATTTTCGTTCAATTGAAAGCTTAATTATGTAAAAATAAATATTTAAGTGTTTAATTAAATGAAAATAAATATTTAAAAATTCAATTGATTTCAAAAAATAAAATAAAATTTTAAATAATTATTTTAGATGTTTTTGCTTCTTAGCTCTTTATTATTGATGTTGCTTCTCTTTCTTTGGCAAATTTTAAATACATAATAAAAAAAAACCTCTTAATTAATAATATGTCAAACAAGTATTGAGAAAGAAAATGAAATACAAATATTAAATACATTTACATAACT